CACATCTGACTAGCTTTAAATGCAGAGATTTGCTTCCATAATATCAGTTTGATGTTTTATTTCATGCACGGACTATAGAAGCTTATTTGTGTCTTTAATTTTAGATTACTTCCAAATAGAATAATCAATGCTGGGACATATCATAATGTCTCAATCTTTATTTGTATTGTAAGTTTCCCCAAATTTTTACTTTATTGTTTTTGTCTTGTTTTAAATGCAAGTTAATGGCTTGAATTTTGCCTTGATGAATTAACTAGAATCCTTGTATTAATAGACTATTCTAATTTCCAATCCCTAAAAAAATTCCCTTAAGTTGAACCAAGTTTAATCATCTAAGATAACAATAGAAATTTTATTTGATTAATTGAGTTAGGGATTGTAGGTAATATAAAAACTTATTATTTGTATTCTTAGATTCTATTTGTGGGTTTACTTTGTTTGAATTATTCTGACTTATTATACTTGAGCCTTCTAACCCAACCATTCTTTTTCACTTTGTGAAAATCTTTCAAGTGATCTTTTTTATAAAAGCACTGTTCCTGGAGTAAAAGTTTTCACCTCCTACAATCTCAGCTTTGTACTAGCTTTGCCTTCAATATACTGTGGGTAACCCTCTGCTCATGGCATTTAAGGACCATAATGAAGGGGACATCGTTTCACAACTTCCATAAAAGTCTTAGATTATTTAGAGACAACATTCAGATTCGCAATTTAAGTAATCTTTTGACATGATTGACTTTAATGCCGGAAGTAGCAGGTCAACGCCTATCATAATAAAGATGAATGCAGACTTTCGTTAAGTCAAACATTAATTAACCAGGATATTGCTAGCATTAATTGTATCACCAGAAAATATTCATTCATACGAAGTTAGTTTAAGTTCTTCAAATATTTATTAATATTGTCTTTCTGGCATCAATTGTATGGTGGCTGCTAGTAATTGTTAAGCTTATGAAATGTCATAATATACCAATAAATTAATGGTTGCTTCATATATAACCATTTGCAAATTGTATTATATAAAACTGTTATTATTCAAAAGTTTCTCTTAATCAAAGATTATAACAATCTTATTTGTGCACTTCTCTTGTTGAGTTGGTAAGTTGTGTCATCACGATATTAGGTTTGTCATATGCAAAGCAATTCAAGATGTGTTCATGCTTAGTGTTGAAAAAAGAAAATTGTTTGAACATTTTACAAGTTAAGCGCTACTTCAGGATACTTCAGCAATACAGATGAGGTGAAGGTCTGCGTAGTGGACATTCAAATGGAGCTACAGTAGTAAAAGGGAATAGTTATTGGACTAGAGTCAAAGTCATCATCAGAAGGTCTTTAGAATTGAAATATTTTTATGAATTGTGTCAAAGGATATTTCCATGAGGTCACCTCTAATTCTGGCGATGAACAATATACATGATCTTAATTAGTAAGGAAATATGTAGCAGCACAGGACTGTCATGCTAGTACTAGAATTAGTCTGACAAAGTCTCTTCTTTGGTTCATCCCATAAATAGCAAATGCATCATTTTTAGAGTGCTTGCTTAACAAGGCATCACTTTACTATATGCACCAGAAGAAATAGTAATAGCGCTGTTGTATCAATATAAATATGATTTAAATCAAATTGAATTTTTAAGAATAGTTGTAATCCATAATAATTAAAGTCGCTTATTTTTAAGGTTTTATTCACTTTAGAACTTTAAGATTCAAAATATTTTATGTTAAAAGAGAATTTTGACCCAAGAAATAAAATATTTAAGAATTTAAAAGCCGCTCTATGAATACTAAGAACAATTGATTATTAAATTTTGGATTGTTCGAGATAATGATTAAGAATCTCAAACAAATATAAATATTTAAATCCTTCAGTTTCAATTTAATTCTATAAAATACTATCAGAGAATAATATAAATGTAGTTTATTCTATTATAATAATAGTGTTATAAATATTCATTTTTATAATGGTAACAAACGTTTTCTGATAGAGCTAATAGTTTTATTAAATAATAAATTCAATAATATTCATTAAAATTATTAGCTCATTAAATATAGCAAAATATTTTGCTGCTTAACAGGAGGAATTTGTATCAATAACAAATGAATCATAAATAATTGGATTTTCAGTGTGCTGTAATTAAACTTTTAATTTCTTATTTTTCTCTAGAGCATCTAAAATTAATACTCTAAGTTTATTGTCATTCATCTCCTTAACTGACACTGACCTATCCCCTAAATATTTGATAATGATCAAAGCATCATGGATTCCAGTTTTTTAATGCACATTTTGCTCTTTTTGGTATTTTGCAGTGCTTAGTTTTGTTACAAATTCACCTAACTATGAATTACTTTCCTCCTACAAATCCTTTGATTATTACATTGCAAGTTCAATAATAGCTATTTGAGTTCTTTTTCTAGATCGAAGAGATTGGTTTGGTCTAGAATTTAAATATATTGGTCAATCTATGAAGCCTAACCTAAATTTTATTTTTCTTTTCAGATTATATCAATTATCTAAGGCTTAATATACAAGGTCAAATGCTTCTCCATCTATTTCAATCTTTGGTTTAAGAGTTAAAATTTAATCATTTATTCCTTCTAATATTTTTCATTAATTTTCAATTAGATGATCCTTATTTATTTGTGATAATTCTTATTAATTCTCTAGGATTACTTATAGAGTGCAATACAAAGATTAAAACAAAGCATTGTAATAATATAATTAATGATTATTTTCAACTTTGTGAAGTAAAGAGAGTCTTCTTCAATAAATTAGTCATCCATTCGCTTCAATTTAGCTTCTTTCTCTAATTGAACAGTAGGGTTTTATTACACTGTCATTTGAAGTGATTAAGCCACCTATTTATTAAGCTAATCATATCTTCTTTAGTCGATAATAATTAAAAAAGCTCTTGTTACTTTTTTTCCAGCTTTGAAAATTCTGTTTATGGTTTCAATTATATTTTTATTTTTCTCTCTAAGCAACGAAATTATCTTTTAATATCATTTATCGAGGATTAATCATAATTCGATTGGCTTGGTGGTTTTTAGAGTTCTAATCTTAACTAAACAGCGCTGTCTTAAATTTCCTGGAGTAATTTGAATTTTTCTTGAATTATGAAGGCATGCCATTCCTATAAATTCAACTGATTGATTTGCTGAGATTTTATATTTATCAATAAATTAATGACTCGGTAATATTAATCAAACGATAGAGTATAATTTTACCTTATATAATATAGATCACCTAAATTGGCAAGAGCAAACAGATTATTAGAATCCAACTCAAGTGCCTTATTGTAATCTTAAAATGCTTTATCGTTTTAATTAAGTTCTTTCAAAAGAGCACCTTTCACACTTAATAGCTTAATTACCTCTGTTAGTATAAATATTGGAATTATTAGAATCCAATGCTATACTTGAATTATAATCTATTAGGGCCTGATCCTTATTTCCAATTTCGCTCTATAGAACTCCTAGTCACTAGAATATTCTAATAACCTCTTTAATAATAAAGCAACGGGTTTTTAGGATTCAATTCAATTGCTTTGTCATAGTCTTAGAGTGCTTAATTCTTATCCCCCATTTTCTAATATATAAGTCCTTCCATATAGTAATTGATAACCTCTGTAAGAATATGATGATTCATCTCTAGGATCCAATTCAATAGCCTTATTAAAATCTAACACTGCTTAAGCTTTATTCTCCATTATTAAGTGAAGAGCTCCTATTCGATAAGATGTATTGATAACCTCTGTTATAATAAGCCTAAACATTATTAGGATCTAAATCAATAGCCTAGTTATAATCTGAGAGAGATAAATATTTATTTCCCATTTTATTATATAAAATCCCTATAGATATCATGAAAAATTGAGTACCTCGATTAAAATAAAAAGCAGCATCCTATGGATTCAACTCAATCGCTTTGTTATAATCAATTAGTGCCTTGTCTAGTTCATCAATTTCTTTGAAGATCATTCCTATTAAGTATTGAATAGATAGCTACCTCTGTTACAATAACTTTAAGGGTCCTCAGGGTCCAATTCAATAGCTCTGTTATAATCATCTAGTGCTAGGTTCTTATTTCCCATTTGCTAATATAAAAATCCTACTCAACACAAAGTTTAATTACCTCTGTTATAAAAAAACGATGCATAATTGGGATCCAATTCGATCGCCTTAGTATAATCCAGAAGTGTCTGAGCTGTATTTCCAATTTCGTATTCTAAAAGTCCTACTCTATAGCTTTAAGTTTAAAACCTCTACTGTAATAAGCCTTAGCATTATAGGGATTCAATTCAATAGATTTGCTAAAATCTAAAATGCCCTTATCAATTTATCCCATGTTGTTGTATAAAATTCCTAGCCATATAGCATTTTTTGATTACCCCTATTAAAGTAGAATTTTGCATCATACGGATACAGTTCAATTGCCTTAGTATAATCAAAAAGTGCTTAATCTTAATTTCCTCTGTCATGATATAGAATTGCTACTCAGGATTAGAAATTGATTTACCTCTCTGATGATAAGCTTAAAATATATGAGGATCTAAATCAATAGCTTAGTTTAAATCAATTAGTGCCTAATCATTATTTCCTGAATTTTAATAGAAAACCCCTATCTATTATTATCCAATTAATACCTCTGTTATAGTAAGTAAAAGACTATTGAGGATCTAGTTCAATAGTTTTGTTAAAATCTATTAGGGCCTTATCCCAATTCCCCAAATAATATTATAAATTTCCTATTAAATATAAAAGGGTATTGATACCTCTTTAAGCATATGCCTGTATATTTTTTGGATCCAAGTCTATGGCCTTGGTATAATCTATAAGAGCCTAATCTTTGTTTCCAATCTCATCATTCAGAATTCCTATTTAATATTAATCGTTACCTCTTTTATAATAAGCCAATTAACATTGATCATCAATTTCAATTGCTTTATCATAGTATCTCAATTCATCATTATAATTACCCAATTCCCCTATTGCTCTGCCTAAAAGTTTTAAAAAAGTTCTCACCTATTCTCTAGAATATCAAACCATATTAAGGAGTGAGTTGAATAGAATACTAATAATTTTATAATGCTTCAATCAATAAATCTTTTTGACTGATCCCTTTTGCTAAAATAATTTAAATAGTTACTACTTTTTTAATCAAAGCTGCCGTTCCTCAATATGCTTAAGCTTCCAACTTTTATTGCATCCTCAACTGTCCAATCATCCATGTTTTTACCTAAGTATAATTCTCCTATTATTTGTAATATTTACGAAACCTCTCGAAATAAATGCTTATGAAAATAAAGGATTAAGCTTTAATGCTTCATCTATTAATTCCAAGGCTTCCTCAATTTTATAATTTTGAAGATTTTACTATAAATTATATATTTGATTTTACTAGGCTAGCAATATAGATTTATTCTGTTCGTTGTTAGATTAAGTCAGATTGAATGCTTACTTCTAATTATTCGATTCCGTGTTAAGCCATTTTAAATTAAAATAATTAAATTAAAATTGATTACTATTCATTTCTTTTTAATTGTTTAATTAATCTAAAGTAGATCATTTTTTTTTTATGTAAAGTAAGATTTGAATGATTTATTGTATTAATGTTTAATGATTTAATTATTGTATCTCTCTGAATTTATTTAAGAAAATCAACAACATTGATAACTAAGATTTGTCTAAATAACAGTCAGTTTATATTCTATTTATTCAGTGTTTATAGTTTTGAATGTAATATTAGCACTAATTATTTACTTATTTCAATCAATCCTATAATTCTTAATTGATATTAAAGTAGGAATAAACGAATGAATCGATTTGTTTAATAACAAGAACATCACCAAATAAATATCACTCACAAATTTAATCTCTAGCATATGTATTTCAAAGATTGATTACAAGAAAGGGTTTAGGACCCACTATTTTCATTAATTAAGTGATAATAATTCAGGATGAATACTGCATACTTCAATAATAAGATAGCTAATGTTCTTCATGAAATTGCTGAAAGCCTTGCTAAATAAAATACTTAAAGAAAATTTGAATTAATCATTGAATTTAGTCAAGTAGGCTTCATGAAATTTATTTATTAGTTTTCGATTCTTCTTCAAGTATGAATGGAGAATTTAATGTTACATTTACAATAGTAGATATTTATAACAAGAAAAATAGAGTAAATTGAACAATTATTTATTCTAATACACAATCATTAACTCATTTAATTTGCTTATCTAGATCAATCCTGCTCTGAATTTAGATTAGGCTGCAACTTATGCATTAAGAATAACTTTCATTAAGGACATATACATAATTCTAAATCAAAACCTGAACTTCTTGGGTTATTATCAGATACATACAAGCAGTGAGATTCCAGTTATCTAAACTTCAGAAATAGCTTTGAATCAATATCAAGTAATCAATTCTATCAAAGAATATGAATATTGTTTTTCAGTTTGTTTTAATTATCGTGTTATAAATATTCATTTTTATAATGGTAACAAACGTTTTATAATAGAGCTAATAGTAATAGTTTTATTAAATAATAAATTCAATAATATTCATTAAAATTATTAGCTCATTAAATATAACAAAATATTTTGCTGCATTAACAGGAGGAATTTTTATCAATAACAAATGAATCATAAATAATTGGATTTTCAGTGTACTGTAATTAAACTTTTAATTTCTTATTTTTCTTTAGAACATCTAAAATTAATACTCTAAGTTTATTTTCATTCATCTCCTTAACTGAAACTGACCTATCCTCTAAATATTTGATAACGATCAAAGCACCATGGATTCCAGTTTTTTAATGCACATTTTGCTCTTTTTGGTATTTTGCAGTGCTTAGTTTTGTTACAAATTCACCTAACTATGAATTACTTTCCTCCTACAAATCCTTTGATTATTACATTGCAAGTTCAATAATAGCTATTTTGAGTTCTTTTTCTAATTCGAAGAGATTGGTATTGTTCTAGAATTTATATATATTGGTCAATCTATGAAGCCTAACCTAAATTTTATTTTTCTTTTCAGATTATATCAATTATCTAAGGCTTAATTTACAAGGTCAAATGCTTCTCTATCTATATCAATCTTTGGTTTAAGAGTAAAAATTTAATCATTTATTCCTTCTAATATTTTTCATTAATTTTCGATTAGATGATCTTTATTTATTTGTGATAATTCTTATTAATTCTCTAGGATTACTTATAGAGAGCAATACAAAGATTAAAGCAAAGCATTGTAATAATATAAATAATGATTATTTTCAACTTTGTGAAGTTTAGAGAGTCTTCTTCAATAAATTAGTCATCCATCCGTTCAATTTGGCTTCTTCCTCTAATTGAACAGTAGGGTTTTATTACACTGTCATTTGAAGTGATTAAGCCACCTATTTATTCAGCTAATCATATCTTCTTTAGTCGATAATAATTCAAAAAGTTCTTGTTGCTTTTTTTCCAGCTTTGAAAATTCTGTTTATGGTTTCAATTATTTTTTTATTTATCTTTCTAAACAACGAAATTATCTTTTAATATCATTTATTGAGAATTGATCATAATTCGATTGGCTTAGTGGTTTGTAAAGTTCTATTTTTAACTAAACTGCGCTGTCTTAAATTTCTTGGAATAATTTGAATTTTTCTTGAATTATGAAGACATTCCATTCTTATAAATTCAACTGATTAATTTGCTGAGGTTTATATTTATCAATAAATTAAGTACTCGGTAATATTAATCAAACGATACAATGTAATTTTACCTTTTATAATATAGATCACCTAAATTGGCAAGAGCAAATAGATTATTAGAATCCAACTCAAGCGCCTTATTGTAATCTTAATATGCTTTATCGTTTACATTAAGTTCTTTTAAAAGAGCACCTTTCACACTTAATAGCTTAATTACCTCTTTTAGTATAAAAATTGGAATTATTAGGATCCAATGCAATACTAGTATTATAATCTATTAGGGTCTGATCGTTATTTCCAATTTCACTCTATAGAACTCCTAGTCACTAGAATATTCTAATAACCTCTTTAATAATAAGGCAACTGGTTTTTAGGATTCAATTCAATTG